TAATGACATGTTTTAGTGGCCCCTTCCCATAGCAATGACAGCGGAGCATCTTCTCAATAGTTATTTAAAGGATAGGGGGGGGGGAAGTATCTACATATTCCTAAGATTGTTCTCCATAGGATAACCAAGATGAAGATATATATGATAAATGAGATGATGTTAGGAGCAAGCATGGCATCCATAATATCAAATGTAGTCCAAGAAGCATCTTTACTAGTCTTTAAATAATCCTTTGAGATTGCACTTTTTGGTTCTCACAATTACATATCTGCTCTAATAATGAATCATAAATTAGAGCAAAAAAGATTGTAAAGAAGATTTATATACATCGCTTAATTAATCCTACATATTTATATACAAATATAAATGTCAGCTAATTTATGGATGAAAAGATGCATTTCACGTTTTAAAGTTGAAATGATGATATTTTCTACGTGATGTAAGAGATTTTGGCGGTATAAATGTAAAAAATAAATTTTTAGTGTTAGGTATATAAATAAATAAGAATAGGATAGTATCTATGTAAATGTCTCAAAATATGAAGTATAGACTCTGGTATTCAAGAGAAAAATGAGAAAATTAAGGCATAGATAGACTCTGATGATACAGTTCTGCAAAAATATGATATATCCATAGACTGCAATTGATTCTAAACAATTAATTTATTATATTAAAATATTATGTATTGAAATATGTTTTATATAGTTTATTAAATAAAAAAAAAATTCATTTTGATATAATAATTTTGCTAATTTTATGGTTTAGGGTTCAATATTGTTCGTGAGTACATATAATGTTTTAGAAATAATGCTTAGAGAGTGAGAAATGGATCCAACCTTCAGAAATGTATTGATTTCAAATCTCCTACACTCTGATGGAAAATCTTCTTGGGGAGAGAAAAAGAAGATAAAAAATTGTCCCTATTGAGGTCTTCATTTCCCCTTTTTATACATATAGAAGAGAACCTACCAAATAATCAGTATAGTACGTCTTAGTATTAATTAGACATCTCTCTATAATGTCTTAATGGAAGGATTAAGATGTCAATACTACATATTACCGGCCAATACAAGTTATTGTATGTACGGTGGCTATCCTTGATATCTAGGCGAAATGAATGGGTTCTCAGTTTCAAGTAACGTCTTTCTTGCGTGTTTAACGGATGTCGCTATCTTCCATGATAGTTTCCTCAAATCGTAGCACTTGCATAGATTGGGTAGATTATCTTTCTCGAGGAAGGTGAGAATGAATAGATCAATCATTTCGGTAGACATGTTCGATTCAACCACTTTAGCAGATTGGCTTGATTTAGCCACCTCGACTGTTGTGTTTGATTCAGCAAGAAAATTTTTACAGAAATTCTTGTATGTCAGTATTTGAGTATAAAAATAAATATAATAATTAAAAAATATTAAAATTATTTACTGTTTTATCTTATAGTTGCATATAATTATGTGTATTTTGCCAAGTACTAATGTAAAAGGAATTCAAATTCTCAGCCGCATATTTCAAAGTTCATTGGAGGAGAAAATATTATAAATTGATTTATCATCTGCACAAGCAGATGAAAGATTTATTCAACAACACTACTGTGTACGGCAACTTTGTTGAATCCATACTGTCATCCACACTTAGGGTGTGTTTGATTCGACGGTCTCCCCGCGGCTTGACATAGGACCGTGTTTTTTTTTTTAATCGTTCGGTTCAGTGGGCTCCCCTCCTTTGTAGGAAAAGCGGACGTCCAATACTTTACCATGGTCCAGCTTCGTCGACGCAGATTTTACCCCCGTGCCCCTTTACGAAGCCCTAACCTGTATCCTGCGAAAGAGAAGAACGCGCGATCTTCTCCCCTCCCCTCGTCTTCTCCAGTCAGTGACGGTTCCTGACCGTCTTCCTCCTCTTCTCTTTCTCCTTCTCTTCCTGTTCCCGTGATCTTCTAAAAAAGGGTAAGAAATTTTGGCCCTACCGCATAGATCTGTTCTAGGTATGATTTGGTGGTGGTTTTTTGTTGGGTGCTGCTGTGATTTTCTGATTTGCCGGTGGTTTTTGCCGGTGGTTTTTGCCGGTGACGAGAATAACTAAATTTGTATGTATTCTTGTATATGAGATTAACTTTTTTTTTGGGTTTTACTTGTTAAGCAACTACAAGGAGTTATTGTTGAAGGTTGGAGCATTTACAAACATTGCTCTTCTTGCTTCAAATCTTTTTTGTTGTTACACATAGTGCACGGTAATGAAAATTAGAATGAGTGTAAAAGTGTATTGATATGCTGCTAAATAATGAGGTGTTATATAACTAGAAAGGTGTATGTGTCCAGATTTGCAATATTCCCTCACATAATACATAACAATTTTTAAACAATTTTATTTAACATGGGCAATATGATTATTTCTCCAGAAACAATTCTCATAGTTGTTTTCACACAGCTGCACCAAATAGACAGTCAGCTTTCCAGCAGCAGCTTTCTGGGGTAGCGCAGTTGCTCTGCTAAAAAGCCGAGAAGTTACAGCTGCGCCAAACAGATCCTTAATATTCTCTCCTATTGGAGATGCAAAATCTGTATGTACGCGAACTTTTATACAACATTGTTGTATTGATTATATTTTTGACTTGTCTAAAAAATACAACAAATACAACCATATTATGTTGAATTTCACATGCATACATCACTCAGCTATAATAAGCTTTGTTTCGTAAACGCAATCAAAACCTTATTATGCTACGTTTTCTTAATTGTTTCTTTGAATTTTTTAGCATGAAAAATATTATTTTCATAATCAAACTTATTAGAATATCAAAACCATAGCCAAGTTGTCATCAACTTTTCAAGCATAAATAATTTATAATAAATACAACAACTATGTAATTATAGTACTCTCAAATAAAACAATAAACTAATACTTCTCTCCACCTATATTTATATATAAGCATTATATTTATAAAATATTTAAGTATCTTAATGTCTAAGGGCATTTAGATACATACCACAACATTCATATATTTACATGCATGCCCAAACCCTTAACACTACATAAGAAAATGTCATAAAATTACTAAATTGCCTAAATCCCATAAAAATTATTAATTTTTTTTTATTTTCCAAAAATAATTTGGAAAAAAAAAAAAAGCTCCTTCATAAAAAAAACATAATATAGATATTAGTTCAAATATTAGCGTCATGAGGAACAAAAAGTCAAATTTGCCCATTTCAGTAGATAAATATATCCTGACTATTGACGCTATTCCATTCGCAGCCAAACAATAGTTCTGCTGGATATAAAATATTGTTAAGGGAAATTTGCATGCACGCCATGCAATTTTTATGTTTTTACATTTCTAGCACCTAATTTTTTCTTTTTGCATTTATAACAATCTCGTAGAGATCTGAGTTTTAAACATGTAAATTTAAAAAATTGGGTGTTAGATATGTAAATTCTTAAGAAATGTGTGGTATGGATGTAAAAATGCCTTTTTTTTTAATTAAAATTTAATTTTAAAAATAAAAAAAATTTCTGGGCAGCAAAATGTCCAAATCGGCCCGGAAGCAACGACCCCTCTTTTCTCTGGCTTATTTAAACGATGTAAACTGCTCCACCTAAACGGACACAGTACCAACCCAAGGCAGCGACTGCCTCCAACTCGCACTCATTTAAGATTTTGTCAAATGCTACACTTCATAAAATTACAATAAGCACTATTATATGATATATTAAAGGTTCAAATTAAATATATATAAATATCCAAAATTACCTAAATATATATCATAGAATAATTTTTGCATAAATATATGGGAAAAATTCCTAAAAAGAGAAGAATTCGTGAGGTTTAGTTAAGTCAAAAGTAAGCTATTATATAATTGTAGGTATATGTGTTCACTCTTCTCATGAATTCTAGGAGATGAAATTATAAAGCTGATATTTATGTATGCATAACCATAGTTTAGCTATAATAGTCATAACTAGGCTACAACAAAATTGGTTCTTGGTTGTAATAGTGATAGTTAGTCATAAAACTTGTAATTAGTTGCCACATAGGTAATAGTTGCCAATAAAGACTACATGCACCGACTGAAATAGTGGCAGTCGGCCATAAAGGTCGTAATTGGAGGTTGCAACGGTAGTAATTGACCACAAATGTTATAATTGGTTGCTGCAAAGACAATAGTTGGTCATAAAAGTTGTGGTTGGAAGATACAATAATGTCAGTTGATCATAGATGATGTAGTTGTTAATTGTAATAGTATATGTTGGCCACAAAGACCCTAGATGAAAGTTATAATAGTGGTAGTTGGCCACACAAATTGTAGTTAATGATTGCAAAGTCGTTAGTTGGCTGTCGAGGCTACAGTTAGAAGTTCTAATATCGTTAGTTGATCATAGTAGTTGTAGTTGAATATTGTAAAAACATCAATTGGTCACAAAGATAGTAGTTGGAAGCTAAAACAATAGTAGTTGATGATTGTGATATTTTTAGTTGGTCACATAGACTGTAGTTGGAAGCTATAATGACTTCAGTTCACCGCACTGGTCATAGTTGAATATTGTAAAAATTTTCAATTGACCACAAAGATTGTTGTTGGAAGTTGTAATAGTACTATTTGGCCATATATGTCATGGTTGGTGAACACAATATCGTTAGTTGGTCGTATAGGTTGTAGTTTGAAGTTATAATAATGTTAGGTCACCACAATGGTCATAGTTGAATATTGTAATAGTTTCAATTAACTACAAAGGTCGCACTTTGAAGCTATAATAGTTTTCTGTGGTCATATAGGTCGTAGTTGGTTAATACAATATCGTTAGTTGATCGTGTAAATTGTAATTAAAAGTTGTAATAATACTTGTTTTCTACAGAGATTGTAGTCGTGATTGCAATAACACAATTTTATCATAGAGGTTGTAGTTGAAATATACATAAATTATAATTAGTGACTACAATATCGACATTTTGCCATATAGGTTGTCATTGGTGACTGGTCCTCTCTCTCTCTCTCTCTCACACGGTCACACGGAGAACATGGTTAACGGAGAACATGGTTAAAATTTTAAATTACAATGTACTTGTCCTCATACAATGTAAAAAAAAAATACGGGTGGTCGATGAGCGGTGGTTGACGACTATGTGTCATACGTTACAATCATGTTAGTCATATGAAGTTTGCAAATAGGGTTCACCGTGGGCAAAGAGATTGTGGCAACATGAACTCTCATTGATCAAGGTATTGTCCACATTGTCTTAATGGCCTCACAATATTTCCTCATTGGTTTATCTTACCATGAAATCACCCAAACCAAAATTGATACAACATAAACAAACTTAACTTTGGTGTTTCTAATGAAATTCCACCATTGCACCAAAGGTTTTCACAATCTCCCCCACCTAAGTAATTGATATCATCGTCAGTTTTCATATCTCATAATCATCCACCGGGCAAATAAGAATCTAGAGGTAGCCCTTATAGATTCAAGGGTTGGCTCTCACTAGGTAGCACTTTATCCCATCCATGGTTCAAAAGGTGGCTTCCATGACACACATTGTTTTGTATGCACTTATTTCTCATCTTCCAAGCGATGCAATGCTCAAATACCATTTGTTATATCTCAAACTCTCACCCATTAAGGTATTGTTCGCTTTGGCCTAGTGGCATCACTGTTTTACCCCGTTGAAATAACTTCTCATGAGATCACCCAAACACCCATCCTGAGAGTACTCCATGACGAGCACATTTAACAGAATTGGGGCTCCTAATGAAATTCTACTGTTGCACCAAAAGGTATCTCGATGTTTAAGAGTTCGACTTCATTCTACTTAAGCGGTTTCACAAGATCAACAACAACAAGCAATTGCGGCTGACAGTGATTGACGGTGGATGACTGCCAATGTTTAATGGTGGCCAACATGCAGTGATCGATGGTGGTTGACAGCTACAGAGACTAAAAACTTATTGTCTTTTTTTTAGTATAGGTGTTATATCCATATTTGTGATATGACATTTGCAAACACTTATCTCCGACGATATGACGCCGACAACGACAAGCAGTGACGACTGACGATGTTCAACTGTGGTTGACTGAGGGTGGTTGATAGTGGTCGGCGACTACAGAGGTCGGGAGTTATCATCAGACCTTCAGTCCAAAACGGGCTATGAATTCATCTTCTTCTTCTCCCCCATGTGAAAAAGGAAGTCTATTTATCGTCTTTGTAGAGGGTCACTTTAGTATTTTGGAGAATAAATTCCTCAACCACATAATTGGACGATCCATATTGATACCCCTTGATCATATCAAAAGTATTTAACAATTTGGGCGCTTTAATGACATTGGAATCGAGAGACCTTAAACTCGTCAGATTCCTCTTACTGAGACGCTGATTTGATTATAGATACAAAAAATTTGGAGTTCGTTTGATCATTAAATTCATGATTCAACGCCTCCAAATGTTTCTTGATGGTTTGATTGGACCCAATTCGACAGCCTGATTGATTATAAATTTGCTCAAATCGAGGTCCAAATGATCATAAATTTAAATTTAGATAATAATCATTAAAAAATACATCGAGATTCATGTTAGATGACAAAACTTTTTTTTGACTACACATCACATATAAACGCACAAATTTAGATATTCCATACATAATACATATATTAAATTCATTAATATTATTTGTTAAATAAAACAAAAAGTAGTTCTTAAAACTAAAAATATGGAATTTTTTCATTTACGTGTGATCTTAAAACTTTCTAAATAAAAATATTCTAATAAAAAATCAAAATTTAATATAAAATATATGAATTCGCTTATGGCGCTAAACATTCACCTACAAATCCTTCCCCCCCATAAAATCACTCATCGCGCCGCTCCCTCTCCTCCCCAAACACTCCCACCCACAACATCACCAATCTCCCTCCAACCTTCCCTTTCCGGCAAGAGATGGAGGATCCGCTGCCGCCGCCGCCGCCACAATCGAACCGCTCCGGCAACTTATTGGCGGCGGCGGAGGACGCGCCGCCCATAAAGTCCTTGAACGACGCATGGGATGTGTTCTTGCGAGAGTCAAAGAAGCTCTGGTTGATCGCAGTGCCGATTGGGTTCAGTATGATTTGCCTCAACGGAATCAGTTCCGCCACCCAAATCGTCGCCGGACATCTTGGCAACCTCCAGCTATCCGCCGTGGCCGTCAGCCTCTCCGTCATCTTTGTTTTCACTTTCGGTTTTCTCGTAAGCTCTAATTAAATTGCGAAATTTACATATATATCACTCATAGTCTATGTTTTTACACAACTCAACTCATATATATCTATTCGGAGTCCAATGAAATCACGCCACATGAAGCTGATAGCAAAATAAAAAAAAATCGTTTTAGCACATGAGAATGTTCCCCCCGTGTTATTCCGCATTATTCAGGTGTTATTGTGGTGTATTCATGATTATTATGTTTAAAGAATATTTCAGTATTATAATAATACAATAACACATTAATACCACCCCAATAATACTTGAACAACACAGGAGGAATATTTTCATGTGTTATCGGGTCGGATAATAAGAAAACGAGTTTTTCTTTTTTTAGTCAACTCTACGTGGAGGTGATTCATTAGACTCTTGACGTATCTCTACGTCCGTAGTCCTGTTTGGGAGCAGTGCAATAGCAGTTTGGTGCCACGGGCAGCACCACAGCTCATTCTTTTTGATAAAAATTGTTTTTTACATGCTGTTGTTAAAAATCGCATTTTCCCACTATATCTGATTATATTTTGAACAATAACTTCACAGTTGTTTCTTCGAATAGCTGCAATTAATAAAGCCTCTTAAATCTTTCATACCACTTTTAAGGATGTCATTGAAAAAGTTAAAAAAAGTGAAATATTCTTTTTTTAATTTACATATAAAATGAGTTAGGCAATGGGGCCCATGCCTTCTACTGCTCAACCCAATTAAGTATATATATATTATTTATTTTTTATTTTTTGTGTTAGTAGATCTAAAATTGACTCATTTGTAGTAGTGGCTTTTAAAATTATATAAAAATATGGTGATTTTACATTTTAGGAAAATAACTTCTTGCACCCAACCAATACTAATAATTCATATAATTTATTATTTATTTTTTTGAAAGAAAAATATTCGACAATAATGAAAAAAAAAACCTACCCAGTAATTTACTTGACTGTTCATTTTGTTCAACCATTGTGAAATACTTACTATGCTAATTGCACATATTAGGAAAATAACTTATTGTTTTATTTCTTAATATTGGACAAAAATCTAGAATACACCCAAGTAAAAAAGGTGATAGGTTGACATGAGCAAACACCTCAACTTTTTAAGTGAAAAATCTGAAGAGAGTAAAAAATCTCTGAGCTATCATAGTTGAAATAATCCACTATGTAATGGTAAGTACCCATACTCACCGTTCTTTTGAGTTAATGAAGATGAAATTACAAAGTTGATGTACAATGATATTTCATCAATAATAGTCGTAGCGGACTGCGAAGACCATAGTCGATTGTTTTGGAGATAATAATTTGTCGTGATTGTTGTATATAGTGGTTATAGTGTCAATTTGTTATTGAAGTCATAGTTCAAAGTCGTGATAGTACTTTGTAGGTCGTAGATTATTGCTTCAGAAGTGTTGCTTGGCCACACATGTCATAAGCTCGCATCGTAAATGATATATTATTTAAATAAATTTTAATTAATTAGAATATTTACTCGTTTGTTCATAACTAGTATCATATATGCTATATAAATAGTTGATATAAAGTTTATGTTGGTTTTACTAATGTTTGGTGAAGATCTACGCATGTATCTCATAATTTCTTTATACAAATATTTATATAATATCTTAATATTTAAATTATATAAAAAATATAGATGACAATTTGCATTTAATTTTTGATAATTTAATATCAATGATATTTTATTAGGTGATTTAGAAGTTGGTGTTTCATATCAATAAATATAAAAAAAATTAAATGATTGATATATAAATAACTTTTCAACTAAATAAATTGTGAGAAAATTGATTAAAAAAAATTTATAAAATATTTTGGCAAATTAAACATTAAAATTATTGATTCATTAATTAAAATTGATGTAATATAGATTTAATTTATTGTTGGTAGATTATTATAAATATAGAAAGAAAATTTAGGCAATTAAGAGAATCCTCACCTAATATTAAATTATTCCGTTTGCATTTCCGAACGGTGAGAGGTTAGTGTAGGAAATCAGCCGTGATGGAGCATAATAATTAAATAGTCAATATTGATATTTGATAGGCCACCAACAAAGTTTCATCATTCATGATGAATCTTTAGAAAATTTTTTGAACAAAACTATTCAAATTTCAATTAAGAGTCATCAAGAGCTTCGATTGCAGTAGATTTATAGTCAAACCGATCGGCTCGATGAGACGGGTCCAATGATATAAAAATCATTACAATCCGAGTCAGATCAAGCCCAGATCAAATCATTAAACTACTTTTGGAGAATTTCCAGACATATTTGGAAGGTCAAACGAATGCCGAATCTAGTGAGTTCTAGTCGAATCGAGCGTCTCGACAAGAGGAATCATAAAAACCCAAGATTGCTCAATTTCGACACCATTAAGACGTTCAAATGTCCACCGACAGTCGATGATCACCGCCGACCTACGTTGACCACCACCGAATGCCATCGACCGCTGCCAATCATTGTTGACCTCTATCGATCACCACCGACCGTCATCGACTGCCGTCGACCGCCACTGATTACCGAAAACCACCATCGACCACCGCTGACCAGACGACATCAGTTGACATCATAAATTGGAAAATCTAGTAATTCATTCATGTCTGTGGGATAAGGGGCCTCTGTAATCATCAACCTATAATGAATTTTTATAACTGTGTCAGACCTCGTGGTTTTTCCTTTCCAGATTTTCTACATAAAAACTTATGGAGTATTCACAGCTTGTCTCTTTTTCATATGTGTGTATTGAATTCTCGTATAATGCTAAAAAAATAATCTGTTACTCTACCACTGCGAATTTTCTAGCAGGCATCAATATTAGTGATAAATAATATAATATTAGTTAGATTAATAAGCTGTTTAGTTTAATCCACGTCACTTCGGCTTTAGGAATCGTACAAAGCATATTATATATATATATATATATATATAGAGAGAGAGAGAGAGAGAGAGAGAGAGAGAGAGAGAGAGAGAGAGACTCAAGTACATTTGAACTAATACCTACTTTGCGAGTTAGACTATTCATGAAGGCAATGTAGATTCATTTCATGGAAAATAATGACTTTTGCCAAGTGGTGGTGGACACAATGGTGATGACAAAATAGTTGAATTTATTAAAGCCATAGAAAACAAAGTAGGCTTGGAAATTTTCTTAACCTCATTATCTGGATCTTTGAATCTAAGTCACTTAGCTAAAAATGATCAAATTTATTGCTTGGATTAAACGATATGGCTAGGGTTAGCCAAAACTTTGATGGACATGATGTTTAAGTTACTTAAATCTTGTATTTGCTTTTCGGTATGGCTAGATCTGAGATGGTTGAACCAAATCCCCTAGCCCTACCTCGAATCCTAAGCTAGTCCAATGTGAATGAGTTATAATGAAAATGTGAAGAGAGGAAAGAGAAGACGTCATGTAAACTAATAACACAATTTAAGTAGCTTAGCTTTCTTCCTCTACACCCATTATAAGTTTGTCAGGCTCCTTTCTTACAAATAGTTATTAGGAGAGTGAATATGGTGATACTTGAAGGATGAGGATGGTAGGAATCATTAGTCGGAGGACCATAACTCCATCCCTTTCATTGTTTCCCTCACTCACTTTTTTAATTCATCAATCATAATATTGAGATTAGGTGTGAAAGTTATTGGATAACAACCAACATGTCAACTAAGGAGCTTGTTCATGCCTGAACAGCCATGCTTGGTGTAAGCTTGGTTGACTATTGATTGGTTTTATTATAATTCGCCTCAATAATCCAAATTGAATGTTGGAAATATGCTATTACACCTAGGGCCAACCCTAGTTATACCATGAGCTATCAATCAAATTAAAAGGGGAAGTACACACATTGCACTTAAAACTACCAAAAAAGTATATATTTCACACAATAACTTCAATATTTACATCTATAATACTCCAAATGTTCAAATGCAATCAAAATTAACACCCTCATGTTAAAATCTCTATCTTTTTCATTCGCCTTGCTCGTCTGCCTTTGCATGGAATAGAAGCATCGCTAATCTTGGTCTTGGGTCTAAGGCCAACCACAATGCAGTGTGACAGGGAATGCATCAACTAAAAGATCAATCAATTGGACAATACAACCTTTCATGTACTTTCACACCTCCAATCTTCATAGCTTTGGAACCTCCAACATTTTAAAAAACACACAAATTGGTACCAATTCAACTTAAAAAAAACAAAATAAAAAAATAAAAATAAATAAATAAATATATATATATCCATAATGATTCATTTCTTGGGAAAATATTTCATTGAGGAAAGTTTCTTATTAATGATGATTAAGAAGTCTTGTGTTTGTTAATTGATCGATGGCTTTCTCCTCCAAGGAATGTTGCTAACTAGTAGGAGAAACCTGCATCATCTGCCATCAACAAAGAAGACATCAACATCATTAATTCATTTGTTTAATGAGCATTTTTATTTTGGGTACCTTTACCAACAAGATTATTTAACGCTCTTTTTAATGAGGTGTTAGACGATATTTGAATTTAGGTATGTGATGCGTAATTTTAAAAGTTTTGAGTTCCATGTATTTAAATCCCAATAGATCAAAATATGCATTTAGCACATTATTTAAATATTAAAATATTATTTTAATCCAAGTGGTTTGTCAAAAGTTGACTTAGGTCAACCTTATATCAAATTTTAATAAAATTAAACTCTAAATAATCCTAATTGAACTCAAATGTCTAATTAGATGTTAATATCTTCAATTGCCCAATCCACTAATTCAATTATTTTAAAAGTAATATTGTCTCGTTATGAAATTATTCAACTTTAACTATAGTTTTAGGCTTTGCCAAAGTTAAACTAGCTACAAAATTCTTCGAACATTGGACTCAATTAATCATTTTATACTAGGAGATCAAATTGACTAGCCAAATCTACTCTAATAAGTCTCCATTTATCAATCATAGAAAAACTAAATCATACTGACCATTACATTATGACATCAACA